GGGGAGGGGGAAGGGGGGAGAGAGGGACAGAGGGACAGAGGGAGAGAGGGAGAGAGAGAGAGACAGAGAGAGAGAGAGACAGAGAGAGAGAGAGAGAGAGAGAGAGAGAGAGAGAGAGAGAGAGAGAGAGAAAGAATGAGCTTAGCCATATTTATAGCTTACCCATATTTCTTTTGGGCTAATATAGTAGAAGTTTCACTAAAAATGTCTATATTCTTTAAATATTCCAAAATATCTTTGACTCAAACATGCTTGAGGAATGTAAAGTGCATTTGCAGAATGAATTGATTCAGTCTCCCTATTTTTGCTTATACAAATTAAACAGTAGTTGTGAGAAAGACCATTTTTTAATATTTTCAATATTCACTTTCCTTTCTATTGGTGTTATCAGTCTTTATTCTCCTGGAATTATCTGTCTGTAGCAAACACTACATAGATGAATTTATTGTAACTAATGAAAAATTTATGTCTTATATACAAGCAAAGAAGTACAGCCATAGCCAGAACACAAAATCCATGCATTTATAAGGCATTAAATACTGTCTAAATGATTAATTTGAAATAACTAGGTATATAGTAAACAATATACACATTTTTCTCAATATCTGTGTGTATTATCCTGAATTCAGGCAGCTAGTAAATGTAAGATAGGGCAATCAGTTCAATCTTTATAAACATCTTTTCTGTGAAAGTAGAAAATGATTTCATTGTTTATCCAAAAGAATTGAGACTAATGATGAAACCTCAGCAAACTCAGCCAAGTCCCAAATCCTACATGTAATCGAATATCACGCTCCCTACCAGCATGGCTCTGTTACACGCCAGGAATGCTTGCAAGGGAACTGACACATCCCAAAGGCTCTCGCTGATCTCATCATTTGAAAAGGGTTATAAGAAGGTTTTCCATTTGAATATCTGGAAGTTGATGTGGCAAGTTCTCTTTGCCTAGCTTGAGAGCTTATACACTCTGAGCTGGTAACACCCCATGGTGCTGACTACAGAGCAATAAATTTACACATTGTAAAAGATATTTAATGTCTAGAAACTAAAAGTACCAGGTCAGCTATAAGAACCCTCACAAAACGTTGTTTTAGTACATGTTCCCAGAATATACAGAGTAAATAATATAAGTACATGGCAGGAATACTGGTCATCAAGCTAGTCGAGAGTAGGCTGCTGATTTTATTTCCTCACATAAGAGTGACTGGCGTGTCCACTATTCTGTATGTTACAGAGAGAGTATACACATATATAATTGAATGGTACAATTTATACATCAATGTTTCTATAAACATGTATGTACCTATCCTTTTTGATAATTTTACATGGAGATTTTTAAATTATGGGTGACGTTGAGATTAATGTTGCTTTGTATGTTTCATTCTCACTGTATGCATTTTTATTTCTGTTAACTTTGCCCAATATGTTATCATGAGCAAAGATATTGAGCTTAATACTTAATCAAATTAAATACTATTCTCATTCATATATATACATATATATATACATATATATATAAGAAAATATGGCAAATATAAAATTATGTATATAAACTTTCTAGAATTCATTGAACACACATACCCATTTTTAGAAACCTGAAAATCTTTCAAGTAAAAGGTATTTTTCTTTGTACTTGGTAAAAATATTTCAAAAGAGTTTAAAACATCTATAGGACACTGACTTTTAAACAAAAGCATGTTTATTTGAAGACTGCTTCTATAAGAAGAAACATGTTGTTTATTGTTTAGGGGTTTTCATTTTAGTGCATTTTGGACTACTATCTGTGAAATAAAATTTGATATAGATATTTAGATGATGTAGCATCAACGTGGGATTTTGTGGTTGTCTGCTCACAGATGATTTGAGGAGAGAGACTGACTAGATGTGGAGGAGAAATGTCTCCCGCCCACCTTTCCCTCAGGCACCACACATGGTCAGATTCCCGAGATCATGAGACTTTCCTATCTGCTCTTTAAATTAAGTCTTAGGTAATCAAGAGGCTACTACATTTAAACCGGGATATTTCTAATGTGGCATACTTGTCATTAATGCCAAATCTTTTAAATATTTTTCTGCACTTACAGGAGAAGCCGAAGACAAGATGTGAGACACGGAAATCCATTGACACAATGCCGAGGGTTCAATCTGAAAGGTATGAGAAGAGAGGGAGCATTAGTGAGGGTGCACAGAAGCAACAGTCTGTACCTCAGTTAGTAAGGGGTCTTCACCCAAGTCATTCACTTAAGAATGTGTCGTCCTAATTTGGTAAATTATTTGTTAATGGTAATTAAACTTAAATGTTCATCATGCGAATACTGAACCACAAAACACAAGTATTCTGGAGCAAGCGGCCACCTTGTGTGAGCGGGAAGGTCTCTCATATAGATGACAAACACAGATTTTCTTGGCTACTTATTTCTTTCTGAAGCAAAAGTTTTACCTTTGAAACTGACTAACAACACAATAGACACTATTTTATTGAAGAAAATAGACATAAGAAAACATTTAAAACTTTAGTTATTTTGAACCAAAAACCTCAGTACTGCTTAGTACATTCACACTGTATGCCAATCTGCCAGGCATTGTGTGATGCTTACTGTCTTCCCAAACTTAAAAACAGAATTTACTGACAATTCATTAATCATTCCCTATTCTCTAGTGCCTGCCAGGAGCCATCCTACCTTCCTAAGAGTCTGAATATTCTAGATTCTTTGTACAGTGGACTCAGACAGTGTCTGCAGTGTTTTGTGTTGCACTTTTTCATGTTTTCAACCTCTTGAACATATATATGAATTTTTTCTATTTATAGAATTCATTGTATGTTCATAGCACATTTTGTTTATTTACTTATCCCTTTCTAGAGACATATACTGTTCCCAATTCTATAGATGCAGAAAATAAACCTTCAGAGATCCAGGCTGTGATTCAATCGCAGGCCCTGAGTCCTGTTTGGCAGTTATAACACAACACCCTCCTCCTCTTGACAAAGAGAGGCCATTTTGTTAAACAATTCCTTGATTGCTTCCCTCCTGCTCACACAGCTCTTCCTCCTGGTTGCCTGGTGCTACAGGCATGTGGCTGTTATAGGTAAAACTATATTGAAATGTTCACGTAATCAACTTGATAAAATTAAGGCAACAACAGCAGCTGAAGTGAAGGGTCAGGTGTGCAGCCCTAGCAGTCAGGCGTAGGAGGTAGCAGTCCTGAGCTAAAGAGCAAGACTCACAGCTACTACATATTTGAGCCTGGGCCTTCATGTATAGTAAAGAATGCTATTCCTATTCCTTACTATCGTAACTGCAAGATATCACTCCGAGGTAGATTTTTATTTTACTGTTTTACACATCTAATTCAGGGGAATGAATCTGCTCTGCATTTGCTATGCATGGATCATTTTTATAAAGCATTACGCCAGCTCCTGTTTATAATGTACCATTAGACCATGGTGAGAATAGTGGCACTTGACACATGATCACATATCTGTGCTGACTTTGAGCTTTGACTCAAGTGCATACCTGTGATAATCTCATTCGTTGTTTAAAACCTATACAAAAATCGATTTCTCTCCCTGATTTATAAATAAAGCATTCTGTTAGTCATTTCACATCTGTCTTATTTTGGTAAGTGCTTTATTTGCTGTCAAGCTTTATTAAAGTTTTAAAGTGTTATAGTCAATGAATTTGAAGTGCATAAAATGAGCACAGAGATGATTCAAGTGGCTTGTCTCACGTTACACAGCCAGTAGTGTGGATCCGCAGGGATTTATCCCAAGTTCCCTTTACTCCAAACCCTGGCTACTCAATTATTGCATCACACTGTGGACATAGTAGGCTTTCTGCCTGAGCTTCTTCTATTCCACACTGAGTATGGTTTCATGAGTGGTATGAACCACGCTCCCATTTTGCCTAGCACTTCACACTGCGTTCACAGTGTATTTCTTCATTAGAACACATATATGTGCAGATATTGTACACATTATAGTATATTTCTTCATGACTCATAGGCACACTCTGTACAACTGAGAAAATCTAAGAGGGTATTATAATAATTAGATAATCACATAATAATAAGACAATTAAAGGTACATTAGAATCCTTAGGGCAGAGCAATAAATGTGTACTAACACAACCTTAGGTAATTTTGTAGGGTCTGCTTTACTTTACATTTAAACAAAACTGTTAGAGCCTAAGGAAACATTTTCTCATTAACTTGTGCCTAGTCTCTTTTGGTAACAGCCATCCTCAGCACAATCGTAGAGAGAGAAACGTTCATATGGAAGAATCATCTCTGAAATCAGTTCTCTTTCTCACTGCTGTGATTTTTGCTTTTCAGCATACAGAAATGCGGCTGAAATTGTTCAGTATGG